GTAGTTAGGTACGAATTTTATTAACAAAAGCTCAAAAACTATATTTCTAACAAAAGAATAAATTACATTAACAAAATGTGGACATTTTAAATAATTTGCAACTTTTAACAATGTATAAACTGTTGAATTAACATTGAAATACTATATTTGGGACAAAAATGCCCTCTAACTCTCTATGGCCTCCACATCTTCCCTTATAGCCAACCTATCGTCCCAAATCAATATTAATTATGAACGTGATAACAAGTATTTAATTTGGTTTTAACATTATTCCAAAAAATCAATTTTGAAAAGTTTTACCTATGAGTTTAAGCTACAATTACATATTTTTGGTAATTCAGCAGTTTATACAATAAAAAACGAAATATGTACCTGAAAGAGAGACAAGAAAATAAATGAAATTTGCAAGAAAATACAATAAAAAGTTCAAGACATTTCTACATTAATTCTGTTTTTCTGATTTACATTTATGAAATGATGCTTATTTAAAATTAATTACTGAATGTAGGTTACAAATGTTCATTCTGAGCTTTCTGATCTTATCTACTAATGATATTGTTACTTACCAGTTCATTGACATAAATCCTTCTTGTAGCACCACACTGCCTCTGTGGGGGATTTGTAAGCTTGCTTTAGGACTTTCCATACTGCTATTTACTGAAGTGAGAGGATTGAAACAACCAATGCTCTGTAACACATAGCATCCAGAGTGTTTGTAATGTTCCTGTAAAATGAAATCTTATGAATGAGTATTCAGATATAATTAATACAGCCTCTCTAAACATGGACAGTACAAGTAATGTCGAAAACTTTTCTATGCTTACTGTTTTAATAAGTTACTTTTTCTATTCCTCAAAGCTTTTCAATACGAATAAATGCTAAAATAGCTAAAATGATCAATTTGTTTATGGATATCTTTTATTAACATTGTTAAAATTTAAAATCAGCACTCCTCATTTATTGGGTAGGCTAAAGTCCCTGTAAAGCTTTTAAGATGGGTTGCAAGAGTTTAGGCTTGAGAATTTTAAAGCGATGTACAATAAGGATCATGTTTTACAACAATTACTAATATCATCAATGATTGAACTGGTTTGATTTTCAATATACTTGATAAGTGATTTTGTCTTGTCTTTAGTCAAAATGTAATAATTATTTTTTAATGATTGTTGACACTTACCTTTATGATACCACCTTGTCTGTTTCCAGTGGATAAAATGAATTTTCTTGATTCAATCGGCTATGACAATGTTCTGTAATGAAAGTAAATTGCTAAAAGAGCTCCAAGACATATGATTCCAGAATTTGTGCACTCAGCAATACCTGAAAATAAGGTAAGGAACTATTTATTTTTCCATACACTAGTTGAAACAAAATTATTTCTAAAATTTGCTTTAATTGTATCTATTTTTAATAAGCAACACAGAAGGAAAAACGATAAAGGAAAGAACCATATTGGCTTTATACTTTATATCAATAATGATGAATTAGGTACCAAATTACAAGTCTTATCGTTATTGTGTTGTGACTTGGAGTTGAAATTATGTCGTATTATGATTAATAAATAAAGCTTTTAGACTACAACTACAATCTTTAAACTATTTTTATGCTATTTACTACATATTATTAGCACAAACCACATAAACGAATAATTAATTTAATCTAACCTGCCATGTCATTTTCATGTTGTATATTATCTATTTGAATCACCATAGACAAGATTATAGATACTTGATTCATAGATACGGATTTACTTTATGGATATGCAACATAGAATTTAGACAAGATTATAGATACTTGATTCATAGATACGGATTTACTTTATGGATATGCAACATAGAATTGTGAATTCTATTATTTTATTAAACCCATAGACTTTATACCTTCAAACATAGCCTTAAAGTCTGAAGTTAAACATAACCCTACTTTTAGATAAGTCATCATCGGATGATCTCCGTTAAAGCCAAGCCCTTTCTTAATTGATTGTAGGTAGTATCTCAAATAAAACACCATATTCGTGTTGACTGACCATAGTCCGCGAAAAAATGACTGAACAGCACCGATTTGGTAACATTTCAACTCCTATAACCTGTCATGCTTGGAATAAAAATAGGACAAGTAAGTTACATTTTATTGTACTTTTATCGAATCTTTAGTTATTTGCTCTAATTTTAAGAAATTGCCCTCTCCCCTAACAACCATGAAGTACATATTTATGAAAAAATTGGTAATGAATGGAAACTTCAAGATGTTCTAAGTCAACACGATTTACGAGTTATGGGGATTGACTGGGGCCCAAATACTAATCGTATTGTAACATGTGCCATTGATCGTAATGCTTACGTGTGGACTCAAAGTGATGACGGTAAATGGAAACCTACCCTTGTTCTACTAAGAATTAATCGTGCAGCAACATGTGTAAAATGGTCTCCCGAAGAGAATAAATTTGCTGTAGGATGCGGGGCACGACTTATATCTGTTTGCTATTTCGAATCATCGAATGATTGGTGGGTGTCTAAGCATATAAAAAAGCCTATTCGTTCAACAGTTACTTCATTAGACTGGCATCCAAATAACATATTATTGGTAGCTGGATCAGCTGATTTTAAAGTTCGAGTATATTCAGCTTACATGAAAGACATCGAGAAAATGCCGGAACCAACTCCATGGGGTGCAAAAATGTCTCTCGGGCAATTATTGGCCGAATTTATTAACTCTCCTTCAGGTGGGGGTTGGATTCACAGTGTAAGCTTTTCCCCCAGCGGTAATAAAATTTGCTGGGTGGCTCATGATTCCAGTATTAATGTGGCCGATGCAGCACGAGGAAATGTAGTGTTTAAACTAAAGACTGACCAGTTACCGTTTTTGAGCTGTATTTGGGTTACTGAACGATCGATTGTAGCTGGAGGATACAGTTGTGTTCCTCTTTTATATTCCCTGGGTTCAAACGGTCAGCTTGGATTCGTAGCCAAACTGGACAATTCACAAAAGAAAGAAGTAAGTGGTTTTTCTGCTATGAAAAAGTTCCAATCCTTGGATAAACAGGCGAGAATTCATGTTGATAACGGTTTGGATTCAATACATCAAAAAGCTATAACAACTATCCGTTTATATTCCGGAACTAACGCGGACGCTACCAAGATAAGCACTTCCGGATTGGACGATCATTTGGTCGTTTGGGATCTTATGTCCCTTGAAACTGCTATTCAGGGACTTAAAATTGTTTAATTGTCTCTTAAATTTTTAATTAATTTTACCCATCAAGTTTTAGATGTAAGAAGTAACTACTTATTGCATTTATTACAAGACTTTAAATAATGTGACGTACCCTTTTGAAACAATAAAGTTACAAAAATGATAGTCATTTTTGTTGTTTCATTCATATTATACAATCGAAATTATATTTTTCTGAATATACAAAAAAATAATTTTATGAATTCTTTTATCTAACATTATTAACATAATACATAAATGCAGTTAAACAATTTTTAAAGATACAACAATAAAAATAAAAAGAGAAAAAAAGTAGTGTGCAATAACAGCATACAGTGTAAACGTTTCACTATCCCTAATTTACAATAAGCTAAAAAATTATTACATTAAAAATAATTGGAAGGCGAAAACACATTTTTCGCCCTCCGAAAAAATGTTTTAAACGGTGGGATTGTTGGGCATGGGTTTTGCAAACTTATTACTACAATATTTAATATGCTCTGCATATGTTATATAAAGCTGAAGCTTATTAAATAATAACACTAATGAAAAAGGAAGCAATTTTAGCAATTAAAATAAAAAAAATACACAAACAGGCAATACAATCGTGATTTTTCTGTTGAATCACCGTTTAAACTCGTAAAACAAAATATCTCTTATCACTGTAGCGGTAAAGCTTTAATAAAACATTTAAGTTTTAAGATTGAATCGTAATTCAAATGTATATTTGGTGCAATTAGTATAAATAGCAGAGATACTTATAACCATAAAAACATATTTATAATATATGATTCTCTCTTCGTCAACTTTTATATATAAAATTTTGTCGCTGTAATTTTTGTTCAATAATACTAATAAAAGTAAAAGTGCAGAAAAGTTTCCTAAGTAAACACCTAGGTACTAACTTACGAAAAGAAAACCTAAAATAAAAATAGGAATTATACCAACCTTTAAATCTTCATTAATACTGTTCCTTCTTGTTAAGAGAGTGGTAATATCCGGCGAGAATTTCCCATGCCTTCGGCACCATAAATCCATCGGGAGGAAACTGTCCATTGCGTGCTAGCGTACGCATTCGGGTACCGGAAATAAAATCGAAATCGTCGGTACGTGAAGGATCGAAGAACGACATTCCTTTGATTTTTTTGTCGTAAGCTGCAACGCGAAATGGAATAATCTCGAGAGTGGCTAGACCGGGTGCCATTTTAAGAACGCGAGCTCCATGTGTGACGTCGTACATGTTACCGTCAGGAGAGCCGTCTTTGCCAAGTGGATGGGGCACTCCAGCTGGATCGCGTCCCACAATGTAAAAATCTGCGCCTGCTATCATTCGCGCTTTCGCATGCCATTGAACTTCCGTGGGACCGGCATACATCATTGGGCTAGGAAAGATGGCCAGCACCGTCGAATTTACATCCAAAACGCCCTCATCCATTACGGCTTGGTGTTGACGAATGCGAATAGGTAAAGGTACATCGTCGTCTTTTGTCCAGCCACCTATTGTGGAAAATATGAAAAATAAGAAATCATGACTACAAGTCACGTTTTGAAAGACATAAATTTATAAAAAGAAGCCAGATTTCTTTTTTCTAATCAATTGCATTAGTAGTGAAGAAGAGAACTTGGCTCCCCTTTTTCCTACATTTATGTTTTGGTGAAATTAATTTAAGTCTTAAAATTACCCAACGGATGTAAGAGAAGCACCGGTCTTTTGTAGCCCCTTTCCTGTAGTTGTTTCTTGGTATCTGTCATCAATAAAGCATGTCCATTGTGAATAGGATTTCGTAATTGAAATGCAAACACAGCATCGGCCTCCATTTGCTTGAATTTAGCTCGAAGTTCGTTGGGTGTGTATCGGTATTGATCAAGTCCGTCGCCCCATCTTACTCTTTCTAACACGTTAAGATCTCCGCCTACTAACCAATTTCCTGATTCCAAAATCATTTTAACGTACGGATGATTTTTGTTTGTAGTACCGAATTGACGAGCAGCTCTTTCTTCTTTCCTATGATAATAAAACTCAGGTTTTCGTAGAATGGCGTAACACTTGCCATTATAATAAAGAGCGACTGAGGAACAGCCGTCGAGACGTTGTTTATCGTAGTCTGAGGCCGTTAGTACTATTGGAATGCTCTGATTGATACAACCTCCATTTAAAAGACAGTTAAAATGCTGGGTTTGTAAGAATTGGTCTTCGCGCATGAATCCTCTCAGAGGTGTAGCCCAGCCTTCACTTAGTACCTGCAACCATTGCAGTTCCAGTAAACTTAAGTTTAGTCCAGGAAGTGTAGCTGCTTCAGCCCTCATATTATCTATCATATCGTTGGGTACAAAAAGCTCTTTAACCGTTTCTTCTGCTCTGATGTCAATCGAAATAATTCCGTTTTCTTGCAACATTTCCACCACTTGCATCATGCTCTCTTCAACTGTAGAATCGACGGTTTTTATTACCAAATCTGGATTTTCTGGTTTCTCATAGGGTTGGTCGACGCCTGTGAATCCTTTAATAAGTCCTTTTCGGGCCTTTTGGTATAAGCCCTTCGTGTCTCGTGATTCACACACGCTTATAGGAGTGTCCACAAAAACTTCAAAAAATGGAAGATTGTTTTCACGATGTATTTGTCTGGCTACTTCACGGTCTTCTGCAAAAGGTGATACAAAACTGCAAAGACACACTTGACCAGCATCTGCAAAGAGCTTTGCAACTTCAGCTACACGCCTTATGTTTTCTTCTCTGTCTTTTTTTGCAAATCCCAGGTCCTTGTTTAATCCTGTTCTCATGTTATCTCCATCTAGACCATATGCAGGTATTCCCAAAGAAACTAAATATGCTTCCAGTTCGAAAGCAATGGACGTCTTACCTGCTCCAGAGAGACCAGTAAACCACACAGTGCAGCCATGAAACTTTCTAAGTGGGCCTAAGATTTGAGCCCTTTTAGCCCTGGACACATGATGTTTTTGTTCAACAACATTTGTAGCTACTTGCATGCAAGTTTTTTGCTTCTTATAGATATCACTCGTCATAGACATTGCGAAGAAGCTGATGAGGTACGACGTACGACTACGTGGTTATTTTCTTTTCGTTTTCTCTTTTAGTATCAAAATGTGGGTCACACTACTTTTACTTGATGTTTATTATGGTAAGCACTTCCTGAAACCATGCATTAATTAAACATTACATAAGAAATACTCAGAAAGCACGACAACAGTAAATTTGTAATTTTGCAGAAACTAAACTATTCAAAAATTAATGAAATTATTCATTACTATAGCTTCATTGAAGAACATTATTATTTCAAAATATCGAGGATGACACTTGCACAATTGACATTGAAATGAAGCATTATTAAATACTTCATCGTTCTTGAGCTATTTATTAATTAAATATGTACTCATTATCGAAAACAAACAACTTTAAATTGAAACCGAATACAGACTTCATCTTTCATGTGACATTTCGGCCATTACTTGACAGTGCACTTGAACTTCTGTGACCATAGAATTCTGTGGCATTGTACGTATTTGACCTACAAGCGACTTATCGCCTTAAGAACAAAACAACACAATTCATAGATACGGCATTTAAAAAATACCGCCGAAAAATAAGAATTAAGTATAGGCTTTTTATTAATATTTTAAAGTTTATGTTGTTTTATATATACTTATAAAGGTATTCTGATGCGCTTCTTTATATTTGTATGGAACTATTAACGGAAATAATTAAAACTTTTGTTTGATTATATTTATTATAAGATATTCTTTAATTAAATATGATCAACTTACGTTTACTGATTTAATGAAACATGTTGATAAATACATCTATTTTGAATTAATCTGGTTGAAAGGTGCGCACTTACTGATTTTCAATTTAATTAATTTGTGTTTACGAACATTTCACGGTTTCTCCCCCTCATTCCTCATATGACCTTGTAAAAACTACCACTTTTTGTTAACACTTTGCAGTTCTTTGTTCAAATTCAGACGCGAGTAATTGTAAAAATGAGAATTTGTTTCATTTAATCGAACGACAANATTAGTTTGTGTTTACGAACATTTCACGGTTTCTCCCCCTCATTCCTCATATGACCTTGTAAAAACTACCACTTTTTGTTAACACTTTGCAGTTCTTTGTTCAAATTCAGACGCGAGTAATTGTAAAAATGAGAATTTGTTTCATTTAATCGAACGACAAACTTCCTTGAGCGTTACAAATGTTGTTTAAAAAACCGATTCAGAAATAATTGTATCTAATCGGTTATTATCAAACAATATATTCAGAAATTACACGTGTTTGAGCCTTAACCAATACATATATCAATGTAATATAATAATTGTAAGATAAAAAAAATTGTGTAAATACTTATGGGCATTTTTTTTAAGTTTTTAAGATTACTTTTTTTTGCGGTTGTTTTGGAAGAAAAGTACAATTGTATAATTTAAAAGATTAGGGATATCAGCCTTTGAAACACCGTCTGCTATTAACTGTAATAAAATCCTAATTGCGCTAAAAGCTGTACAGAGTGGATCAATTTAGATGCCTATTTACGGGGACCGTGCGGGTTAAATACAGGAATTGGAGTTAATTTTATACATGGGGTTACCGCTTAATTTTTTGAGTTCTATTAATTGGCGTTAACAAATTCTATAAATTACAAATCATGTCATTTTGTTTCCTTAATAGGACATCTACCATAAATTGGTTCTCCCTGTATGTAACCTACCTACGAATAGTTTTATCGTAAAACGCTACTAATTCGACATGGCACGGCATTTGATACGGTTTATTTACCGGCGTAAACTTGAGTGGTACGTTTTTTCATGTTACTTTTATATTTCGGATGACGTTATGTAATTTATTATTGTATGTACACGTTCCTTCTCTACCAATTTTTCTAGCTTGGGGCTTACTAGGTAACAAGTTAAAAGCAATCGAATTGATTTTTGGAATGTATAATTATGTTCTCGACAATTTGTCGTATAATATTAATAATAGCGCATAAGTAACGATAATAAAGTTTCCTATAAAAAATTAATTAAATAAAAAAGAGCAGCGGTCGCAAAGTTTGTAAAAATGAACACTTTTAAATATACAATGATATAAAATAAAATAACACGTTAAGTCTAATAAAACTATGTATATAGTAACGTAGAATAGCCTTTTTTTGTTATTATTATATCACACATACATTTTCCTATTTGTTATATATTATTAGTTAGGTTTTAGTGTGGGATACTGACCTCGTAAATTTCCGGAACATTTATTCACCGAATAATTAAATAAATTAAGTGTTTGATCACTCATTAATATTTTCAACTGTGGCCCTTTCCTCTAAAAAATTATTTTCAGACTCGTTTCCATTAAAAACGTCCGGTTCTTCAAAGGACGATGAAGACGAGTCTAAAATTGTAAAATGTTTTCGTAAATTTTTATTTAGAAAGTAAATTTTGTCTAAACTGAACATAAAATATTGCTTCAGCCCTCATATNNTAGAAAGTAAATTTTGTCTAAACTGAACATAAAATATTAAAGTTAAATTAAATAATAATTAAAATAAATTAAATTAAATTAACAAAGAACTAGGCAAGTGGTTACATATTCTTACTTTTATTTGTTTTAAGTTTTGACCAGACTTTTTGACTCATAAACGAAAATAGGCAAAAGTGATTTTATGACATTTATGTATATATTTTGAAAAATAAATTATCTTATCTGAGTCACGCGAACTTTGGTTATCCTCATTTATTTTTATTTATTTACTTAATAACCATATGGATTATTGTGGTAAACAAACAAAATTATTACTAACAACAAATAAACGAAATAATTTACCTTCAAGGTCCCCTTTGAAATACTCTAACTGATTTTGATCTTCATTGCTATCCCTTTCATCCATATATTTCATATATTCCTCGGAATTTATTAGCTGGTACCAGCTAATCATGCAAACAACAGCAATAAAAAATAAATTGGAAGTTATTCCTATAAGAAGGTATAATTAATGGGAAGTATTAAGGAGGTACTTATTTGTTTATTTAGTTTACCAATGGCAGCAGACAGTATCGGAAAATGAAACATTACATATCGAAGGCCCGAAAAATTAGCGTGTATGCAGAACTTGGCAGAATACATTTCAATGTGTTTCGTTTGTATTTCAACATAAATATCAGTCACTGGTTGATTCTAAAGACGAAAGAATGGAGAGAATTGTAAACAAGTAAAAAGATATTTTGTTTTCATTAAATTTAAATATGCTTGATTGAGATAATTTACAATAGCATGATTTAAGAAAAAAGAAAGAATAAGTAAATATCTCAAAAGTTAATCAAAATAGAATTTCTATAGAATTCCTTTTGCTTAATTGTTTTTACCTCATGTTCTTCATAATCAGAAAACAATTCCACTTGGATGTTTTGCTTTTCTTCTGCCCCTCCAAAAATATAAAGAGGGCTGAATACAGCTTTATATAAAAAGTCTATAAAATTACTTCGGTAGTGCATCATAGTTGACCTACAAGTGCTCGCGACAAGCAACCCATTCCTTTCTCTAAAATCAGCACATACCATGAACATTCCTAAAAAACAATTATTCTTTTAATAAATTCCATATTAGATGAGATAACCTTTATTATCTCTCATTATATTTATCTGATACTTGAACTTTGTTCTTTGCACAATTACTTTAAAGGTCAAGACACAAACCTAATTCTTTATTTGCTGGTGACTCTGGTAATTCTAACTCTAAATGAATCCTATAAAGTTGCCCTAGCATCAGCAACTGCTGGCGTTTGGTGAGTTCGACATGAGCTGAAGGGAAGCTACATATGCCTTTGTCTTCACAGGGCCTAAGATTAGCAGTAATATTAATAAGAATGTTAGATTATATAAAAACTATTTACTGACTTGAACTGAAGATGTACTGGTTTCTCATGGGACACTTTAGGAACATAAGCATAGTAAAATGCTAAATACATAAGTATAGAAAGCCACACCAAAACTGAAGTAGAGAGGGCAACAACTGTTCCTCTAAATAAGACGTCCCTTAAATTACTGAAGCCTTGTTTCGTCCTTTTCTTGTAGGAATTTACAATTTCATACACAAACTTTACTAGAGGCAATTTGAACTTCTGCCTGTAATATTCTTTGGGGCCCAGCTCAAAGAACGTTTTTAAATTAGTATAAATCTGTAACATCTCGTCACTTTTTATTTCTACATGTTTTACTTAATTTAAAATAATTTATTGCGTCTTATAACTAACCATATTTTGGAGGTTAAAGAATAAAAATGACAACTGTCATCCAAATGCGCATGTCTGAACCATAGACAATTCATATAATATACCATAAATATAATATTAAGGTACGTTCACATAATCTACTCCAAAAATTTAATATAGTGAATATCTTTTAGGCAAACTTAAAAATTACCATCCTATTATCGACATTCTTTATTAATAACTTCATACAAAATAATTTTGTAAATAAAACAAGAAAGTAGATATATCCAGCCAGTTGGACGAATTCTCTTCATTTTTTCCCTACACATACAGTTATATATGTACATAAAGCTTTCGCTATTAAAACATTTTTTTTACACATTTTAGCAAAACAATAAAAAACTATATTATATGTACGGTACATGTGTGGTTGTGTTATGTATCTGGAAAAACACATTCATTTGGTTAAGAATGTTCTAATCAATGTAAGAACAGTGAAGACTTTTTTTATTACGTAATGAAAGCTATACAATTCTATCAAGTTAATTATTACAGTAAATAATCTTCATTATAAAGTATATATTTGTTACAAAACGTTTACATTAATTGTCGCCAGCGGTTCTTACATTGAACGAATTTTATTTTATAAATATCTTTGAATGATGTACAGTTCATTTCAAAAATAATGAAACTCCTCACTTGAGGATTCAGTGTTCTCGCTTTTTATATTATTCACGGCATATTTGGTGGGTAGGTTTTAAAATTACTTACATTGAGCTAAAACTTCAGTTCTTTCTTTTAACATTCCTTTATTATCATTATAATGATAACGAATAAATAAAGGTAGAGTGAAGCCGTGTTTCGTTTGGCATTCGACGAGGGCAAGTTTACGCTATAACCGCTTGCATAAGTCAGGTTTACGATAAAAACCCCTTCGCCCAACCCGTTGACTGACCTCACAATAAACGAATATTCGCCCACATCCTTAGTAGTCACTTTCATTAAATACAAAGAAGCTTGATGGCAGTTCGGAGTTGATGTGTTCTGGAAAAGGAAACAAAAACTATAAACAAAATACCCTTTGCAATAATAGCCAACATTTGTCTGCATGGGACTGCTCAATTTGTGAAACACACTGTACATTAATTAAGAGTTTTCACGAAGAAAAGATACAAATAAGTTTAAATTGGTACCTAACTGATTTAATTGGAAAATAAACAGTTTATATATTTATTTCAATTTCTTATTTTGTATTAAAATAACAGTTTGAAGCAAAAATATATTAAATAAAACAACAAGTTTACTTTAGATGTAAAGTTAGAGATGTTAATTAGATTACTCTTAGATGAGTATTTTTACGTAACTTTAACCAGAAGATTGACGATACGAAGTACACACCAGATACCAGCGCGGGTGACTAACTCATAAACCTATTATCTATGCTCATAAACACCGCTCTTCATTGTTATAAAGATGTTTTAGAGCGTTTCAGACATCTCATTGGTTGTACCACTGCGCGCCAATTGAACGACCAATCAGAAATTAGGTCAAATTTTCAAGTTCATTCACCCACTGGCGCCAGGCGCCACTTAGTATCATAACAAAACTTTTAAATGGTATAATTTAGGTATTTATTAATCGATTTTGATGCGGTTTCCACCAATGTTTAGCGAATTTAATAGTGGATACTTACGGAGACTACACTTTTGCAAAAATGTTCTACTTTTATGACGATATATTCGTATGCACATGTATGTATAATTTTTATAATGAATGCGTGTTGTTAAATAAACTGCGAGTTTATTTAAAAAAATTTGGTGCATTATTCACGGAGATGGATGATGCAATAGCAACGGATTCTGGAGTTCGGATAAGACACACTGATTAATGCGTTTACCTTGTTTGCCCCTGGGAAGGTATGGGATTGTGCCGGGGCGACTCTCTCGAGTCCTACCTACACAATTCATGTTGCAAAATACTTCAAGTAGTGTTCAATTTACATCCGCGACAATACAATTTACAATTCGTGTACATCACTTAAATAAACATGCGCTAAATTCATCTTTGCAATCCATTATATCGCGCTACTTCCGCGACAACACTTGAAAATAATCACGACATGAGAATTGTGAATCGTACAAATTATACAATTACAATGATATTCAAGCTAAATTTTGTTATGTTAAGTTCCTTCCCTGAAATCTCAAAGTTTATGAATAGGTACAAAATTCAAGTAAAATTTACCCGAAAGGGCAAAAACTAAATAGCTCAATTTTAGTGTTCTTAATTGCCGTACATTTAACGTTTAAAAAGTAAGCTCGGGGCCGTTATTTTAACAATTGTTGTCATTTGATCTCGGAAAAGACACAAAATTAATTTGCAAGATTTTCTCTAAAGGAAAATTAATGACGACAAGTGCGAAATTGTGCCAGATTATCGGGGCAAATTTCAAGGTTTTCGTATAAGCAAAGTCAATGGCTTTTATCATCTGCATTATAAATGGGGTGGCAATCTGTGTGTTGAACGACGTTGTCAATGACAGGGTAATTCATAATTAATTATCTCTTTTACGGTGGCGCGGGAGCTTGGGGGCGAAACCATTTCTAGAGTAATGAAAACGAAGAAGACTGAGGAACGATGTAACATTCTAATGTAACACTGTTAATGAATTTATTAAAATTGTTTTTTCTAACTACCCTTATCATAAAAGAGTTGTGAGTTTTTAAGATTCGTTTAATAAGAACGTCTTCTTTCTTTTTTTTTTCGGGCGCTATTTCCTATTTTCAAAAAGGCAAATTGTGATTTAAATAATCCTGTTTTTGGTAGTAAATGATTAAATTTTAGGTTTCATACCGTTATGCTGTGAGCAATTGCTTTTTGATCTGACTCTCCAGGTTTGTATACTCTGTCGTTGGTGATCCACATCGCCTTCGTATATGAGGGGTTGGCGCAAAAATCCGTCGTAAGTTTTAACGGTTGCCCATAAATTGCCGTGATGCTTCTATTACTAGGGAAAACTATAGGCCGACCTGAAATAAAAAATAATCACTTTCATAGTTTCAGTTTCGAGGTGGACAAAATCGATTCTATACTAGAAAGAATGTAGAAATTAGAAATGAGGGTTTCCGGTGGAACTTCTTATGAATAAATAGTAGGAATACTGTATTTTACAGTATTGGTATTAATCATTTTTTTTATCAATATTTTGTATCTTTAATCCTTAGTGTATAGCAGTATTAGCATCTAGCAAGGATGATCTAGAGATAGCTTTAAATAAAATGGAAGCGGTATTGACAGATCAGTACTGTATGAAAATAAATAAAAGTAAAACTAAAATACTGGTATGCAAGGGAAGAAAAAGTAGGGAAAGGGCGAATATAAGGATAGGAGTGGCTGATTTTAGATATCTAGGAAGTCAGATAAGTCAGTACGGAAGGAGTAGTAGGGATATAAAGCAGAAGATAGCGCAGGGTCGTGTCGCCTTTAATAAAAAGAAGTCACTTCTATGCTCGCGAACGGTTAATTTAGAAATTCGAAAAAGGTTGTTAAAGGTGTATGTTTGCAGCACGGCATTGTACGGGTGCGAAAAGAAAAGGTTAGAAGCGTTCGAAATATGGTGTTATAGGCGGATGATGAGGATATCGTGGGTAGAAAAGGTTAGAACTGAAGAGGTATTGGAGAGAATAGGAGAATAGAGGACTCTATGGAAGTCAATAAAAAATAGGCGAGATAGGTTGGTAGGACACCTTCTTAGGCATGAAGGTCTAGTCAGAGACATATTAGAGGCAGAAACAGGAGTTAGGAGGGGTAGAGGTAGACCTAGATTAGATTACTGTTAGCAAATAGTTAAGGATGTGGGTTGTTCTAGTTTTAGGGAAATGCGAAGTTTAGCTGAGGATAGGAAAGAGTGGAGGTACGTATCCAACCAGTCTTAGGACTGACGACCTTATGATGATGATGATGAATCTTTAGTGGTTCAACGCGGCAGTTAAAATTTAACGTTGTACCTAGTTCACATAGTGGGATCAAAATTTACAGGTAAAATTGTTTATTTTTTTAATGTAACTGCATGAGATATTCATCGTTTATTATTTTCCACTGCAACGAGCGACAGAATTCATCTTGTCACTATGCCACCGCAAGTCTTGAGCAAATTAAAACACTTGCTCAGTTGTTAATTATTACGTGGCATTGAAGACGCTCGAGATGAGCTTCCCACACCACCAGTGCAATATCAATGATCGATCGAAGCAATGATTTGTCTTGGTTCATGTAGTTGTGTCGACCTGCGAGTACGCATTGACTTGCGAATACGTAACGATACCTAAGCTTATCGCATTTTGCTGCCTCTTGGTTTGTGTTTTGTTTAAAAATTTAAGGGAGTGTTCATTTGCTCTCATTGGAAAGATGCCACTGGTAGTACTTAATTCTTGCCAGGGATCATTTTCTACATTCTACACACGAAAATTGACCCTCACCCTCATTCACCTTAACAAATTTTATTGACGTTGGTGACCTAACAAAAGTGTGCTGTAGATGCACTGGTCGCGTTTAAAATATTTAATTAAAACTGATGAACAGATCTAATCATTCGCGTTTTGTCCTATGTTAATGCAATTGTAAAATAAAATAACCTTCTATTTTTTAATTAAAGGACTGTCAGTTGCAGCAGCCTCCGGATATTGCCTGACACATATATACTACAACACAAATACGCAGCCCTGCACGTATACGAATACAGTGGCGCTTTGAGTAAACCATTATCTTTTCCTTCCGGATTTTCTTCCTCTTTTCATTTTCTGTTTTCAATATCGCCTTTTTATCCGTTCATATTTTATTTATTTTCCTAGATATGAAGAAGATATTCGAGCCAAGTTGGGACGAAATTGCACAATGTTTTAGCGTTAATTAAAAAAAAAAATATCTGTACGTATGATCGCAAACAAAGTTTAAAATGAATATTTTTATAACCGGGACATTGGGGTATACGGTGACAATACAGGGAGATTTTAAACGACTGCTAATCACAAGAAATTGTTTGTACCGGGGTGGTGTTGCATTTATGGCATAATATTTGCTAGGGGTGTCCCTGAAAGTGTGACTTAAAGTGACGTATTTTATAGATGACTCCTTAATACTCAACTAAATAAAATTTTGTGGGCATATTCAAACGAAAGATAGGGCAACTTTAGGGATTGATATACGCGGGCAAATTATTAGTATGCTAGAAGGAGGAATTATATTATTATAAAAATGTTGGTTTGTAAGGGAAGAAAAAGTAAAGGGAGAGTGAATATAACGATAGAGGACAAAAAATTAGAAGAAGTGGCTGATTTTCGGTATCTTGAAGTCGACTAACACAGGATGGAAAGAGCAGTGGAGATATAAAACAGAGGACAGCGGTGGATAGAATCGCATTTAACAGAAGATGTCGCTTCTATGCTCGTTAATTTAAAAATTCGAAAAAAAAAAATGTAAAGAGTATATCTGGAGCACAGCTCCATAGGGATGCGGAACGTGGACGGTTGGCGCAAGGGAAAGGAAAATGTTAGAAGCGTTCGAAATGTGGTATTTTAGATGAATAATGACGATACCGTGGATAGAGAAGGATAGAAATGAGATGGTATTAAAAAAAGTAGAAGAACAGAGATGAAAGTCAATAAGAAATAGGCGAGATAGGTTGGTAAGACACTTTTTCATGCATGAAGGACTAGTTAGAGACATATTAGAAGCAAAAACAGTGAAGCTACTTGTCCAACCAGTCTCAGGCCCGATGATCCTATAATAATCAAATGTTAACTTTATAAATTTTCTTTTAACAAAAGCATCGCTTTTCGGTCTGGAATTTTGTTGCGAAAACGTATATTGATTAGAAATTTTCGCGTTTTTAACTGTTCGTCTCTTCCGGATGTCACGCCTGTGAGTATCCATTAAATTAGCGAGTGAGTCCCTTGCATATATCACAGTCTTTTCGGTTAAAAGCATTGCCGACAGCAGTTTGACAAGTGTATTAAGGCCTGTCCTTTAGCAGCCCCTTTGTGCACTCTACCGTAACACTATTCAGAACAACACCAAATGGCAGCCGCTCTCTGCTGTCTTCTATCCACTCTTTTGGGAAATCCACCCGTCACTTTACCAGAGTGCCCTGTATCAAGCAACAAGATATTTTACCTTCGATTTTCCCAACATTTATTTTCAACAAGAAATATGTGAATACTGGCGAAATTTTACCTCTTTAAATACTATAGTGAAATTTTAATCTGAAAATTCATTTTTGATCTTTTTACCCACTACACGCTACATCAAATTAATGAGGGAAAAATTGTTGTTGTTGTCACACCCACAACATTAGTTCGACGGATCGTTAACCTTGTAGGTCGGTTGGTCGTGGTTGCTGTTGTCACCTCTCGTAGTTTAGTGGTCAGAACGTTGGTGCGTAAAGCCAAAGGTCCCGAGTTCGATTCCCGGCGGGGGTGTGACAACAGCAACAATTTTTCCCTCATTAATTTGAGGTAGCGTGTAGTGGGTAAAAAATACAAAAATGAATTTTCAGATTAATATTTCATATTAAACTAACTCACTTGTAAAAGTTGTCTAAATTGTAAATACGTAAATTGTTTGTACGTTACTTTCAAATTTAAAAACAAACTGGTAACGTCGAGAAAGCACAAAGTTCAAAACATATTCCATGTCTAGGTACAATCAGTTGTTGTTTTTGTGATAAGTTGAAACTTCTTGAAGTAGCATTTAAAATATGCATTGCTATTAAACGTAAGCGAAGAAATTCCGAAAAACAATCGGTCGAATGTCAAAATTTCTTCGAAAAATATGAACTTGATAAAGGAAAATTGGTTTCAGAAGAACCCGCTGTCCATTAATATTTATGAAAGGATTCTGAAACTCCTCATATCCACAAAAACTCTAAGGAAATCTCCCAGGAAACAATTGTCCTAGCTCAACGCATCGCATTTTTTTTAATTCGGTTTTGGGCCACTAATTTGAAATGGAAGTCGTTTTGATGTCACACAAAATAACAATAGTTATAATATGAAATTCATTTCTGAATTTTCACCCACTACACACTACCTCAAATTAATAAAGGAAAAAATGTTGCTGTTGTCAGTCACACCCCGGCCGGGAATCGAACCCGGGATAGTTTTAGAATAGAAAAGAAATAATTTATTTGCAATTTATCGTCAAGTTCTTTTAGCGAATGTTGAACTAAATCTTTGGAGTTTTTCTATCTACGAACTCGCAATATATAAATTATGTTGCGGCCCACTACATTATTAGACAAACTTTTTAAGTTGGTACATATTCAAAAAGTATTTGGGATATATTACAAAAGTAGGCAAAAAAAAGATCCGATTTAAGAATTTTCTCTATAGCGTAGTTATTTATAAACAAATTGTCAAATTAATTGATTAATTAAAATTAAAGGTATTTAAATAGCTTTCCCTAGTATTTTTTTTGACAATTTTATTTTTATCAATCTATCATTAGTCTAATGTGTTAAGGACATTTTCCATAATATTATAATCTACCATATTATCATATTACCTATTCTATCTATTTAAAATACTTCTAAAGCAATTATATTATGTTTTCAACTACTTTTTTTGGTATTTATACAAGTTTGTGATTAGATAATGTTCATGGCACTTTACTGCTGCCCTAAACCGTACCTCTCGAGTATAAATTGCTTGCATTGTGAGAAAGAAACGAAGTTTTCTATTTGAAATTCTCAATTTCGAACCTTGATAGAAAATTTGGAAATAGAAAGAGCCAACCAACTCCTTGTTAAAAACTTTAAAGCATTAGTTTTGGTTTTCATTAATTGAAATATTGAAAATACGAAGACGTACAAAAATTATAAATTATTATCGGCATGGATTAATAAATAATTGAAATTTTGAATGGTTATTAACGTTAGAATTCAAATTTTTGTTCGTGAATTGAATTAAAACCTGTTGACAAGCGATCCTAATTACCACACAATAAAATTAAACTAACGGGACCCTGATTAGCT